GAAAAATTGAAAGTGTGATTTTCGGACCAACAATGTTGAGCAACAGAAGACTCTGTGTTTCCTTTTTTCTAACATATGCCTCATGTTCTTTGACGCAAAATTTTAAGGCTCTCTTAGTTTGGCCAATGTAAATTAAACCACACTGGCAAGGAATCCTATAAATACCCCAGGAATTCATATCCGGAATGGGGTCCTTGAGTATAGAAGTTGGAATTTTATTGATGGGTAGAAAAAAACAACCCGAAAGTTAAATTTCTGCAAAATATGTGCAACTTTATAGCTAATTGATGGAAAGAAGGAATGACAACAGAATTTTATAAAATCTCCTAAAATAAGAGTGTGGCCTTTTAGTGTGTTGAGATGAGAATTTTTTAACTGCTTGATTAATAATGTTGGGTGAAAAGCCCCTGTCAATAGCTATTGCCTTTTAAATAATTTAGTTCTTCATCAAGGGCTAGTTTGGAGGAGCAAGTTGAAGAGCACGGAAAACATAGGAATAAAATGAAGCTAACTTTTGTTTAGTCGGATGACATGATTTAAAGTGTGGTGGAAGGCAAACCGATGAAGGTTTACGGTAAACTGTAGTACTGAAGTTGGATGTGTTACGTGTGACCAGAATGTCGAGAAACGGAAGAGAATTGCAAGTCTCAAGTTCAAAAGTGAACTGAATAGCAGGATCAATAGAATTCATTGTTGAAAGAACTTTATTTAAATCATCTTTATTACCTTCAAACAGGGTAAAAGTATCGTCTACGTAATGGAACCATGCCGGGAAGTTTAAAGTTTCAAACAATTTTGATTCATAATAATGCATGTAGATATCAGCCAGGATGGGACTGAGGGGACTTCCCATGGCTAATCCCTCAGTTTGCTTGTAATATTTATTTTGGAAAACAAAATGTGTTTGTTTCAAACAGAGTTGAGTGAGAGAAATTAGCTCATCAATTTCGATGCAAGAGAAATGAAATTCGCGAAGTCTGGTTTCTAGACATCTTAATGCACCCTCCACTGGGACATTGGTGAATAATGATTTTACATCAAAGAAAAACCATGAGTAAATTACTAGGAGAAATGTTTTTAACCTTTTTTACAAACTCTATTGAATTTTTTATGGTGTAAATGTTATTGTCTAATAGAGTGGAAAATCTAGAAACTAAATATTTAGCTAAAGGATACGAGGCAGTACCTAAATTTGATACAATAGGGCGGAAAGGAATACCACTTTTATGAATTTTGGGAAGAGCATATAATCTGGCACAATTCGCAACAGATGGGATAAGCGAATGTTTTAAGTTGCTTGAAATGATTTGCGAAGATTTGATCGCAGTTTTTATTTTGGATAAGTCCGAAGGTGAAGGATCTTTAGGGATCGGATTATATGGTCCTTCGTTTAAGAGTTTAGTGACACCATCGATGTAAGTGTTCTTATCCATGACGACTATCTGGTCACCTTTGTCGGCCTTTGAAATGATAATATCCGGGTTAGAATGAATAGATCGGTAAAACCATCGAAACTAGTCCTGTGAAAATTTTGTAGGTATAACGCTGATTGTTTTGTTTGACTTCTGAATTAGTATTTATTCGGCGTGTTATTGTGTCTTAATTAAACAAGCTAATAGCTGATTGGTTGAAAATGAACAACTTGCAATTTTTTTTGGAAAGGAAGGAAAAAGTCGCACGTCTTTCTTTCAATAGTAAATCAGGCAGAAAAGTTGCCCGAAACAGTTATTCATGTGAAACAAACGCTGTGTAATATGGGCCTAAAGCCACAATAGGTAATATTACTAACAAGGAAGGGAAAAAAAGTCAAAGTATGACTTCAAGTGAAAAAATTATTTTAAGTACATATTCAGGGAAAAAACAATCTGCCAAGTCATAGAACAGTAGCAAAATCAATAAAATGCTCAGTATCAGCTGTAAACAAAATGATTAATATTGGTTTGAATTTTGAAAATGAAAAAAAAATAATAATAATGTGCATTGTCTTTGCCCGATCACAGAACATGGTGCAGAATTTTTTATGAGAAATGTTTTATCCAGACAGAAATGGCAAAATAATGTCACAGTAGATGAATTCTTCGTGTATTTAAATGACTACAATAAAAAGAGATTTATTTATTATTATCAAAGAGGCGAAAAAATTCCAAAAAAGTCCTAATGTCTCTACAGTAGCGCCCAAACTAAAAGGGTTGCGGATGATGACTCTCCACACCCAGGATTTGGCGATTGGGTCCCCTAAAAACCCCAGTCACCCTTTAAAACGGGGAGTATATAAGGTATTTCTCCCACCTTCCTAGCGTGCCCTCGTGGTGTAGGGGTCAGCACACTGAGCCTGTATTTCGAAGGTCCGTGGTTCAATTCCCAGTGAAGGCGATTTGCTAATTTTTCATCTCTCTTGCTTCCAAAAAAATCCTAATGTCTCTACAAACTAAGGAAAGTTTTTCAAATGGATCTATGATTATTGCTAGTTTTTCATATAAGGGCAAATTAAAAATAAAGAGAGTGGAGAAAAATGTTAAGAATAACTTCACATGTTATCAGAAACAAATTTTAACTCAATTTTCAAATATGAAATACCTTCTCTTTACCCACTGTGTCATCAATCAGCAGAATTCCATCGGCACAAGGCAAGCAGCCACACATTAAAATTCACTGTTAATTTCCTGAACCAAAAAATGGATAACAAGGCCATACCCTTCACTCCTAACCCTACTAAATCTTCTGATGCATCGCCCATGGATTTTTGGACTTTTAAAGCGGATTGTCCAAATGTAAACCTGCAATCATCCTTGGACTTTAACCACTTGTGCTATGACTGAACTTCAGAGTTGTGGTGCCGTGCGCTACAATATAACAAGTGGTAAAGTGTCTCGTTTACGCTGCTCCGCATTTACGATTGCAATCCAGAGCTGTAACTCGAAAAATAAACAATCTCCTTGTTAGGCTATGTGTGCACCATGTTATTTTCATTTTTGCGATAAATGCCTATCGACGTGGTGTTCACGTCGCCCGAGGTTTGAGACAAAAGCATCTTGATGTGCTTGGCACGTCTTTTTAGCGCAAGTGGTTAAAATGCTATTCAAGAGAAATAGGATATAATTCCTCTTCCAATACTACAAAAGGGTTTATTGTCGTGGAAATTATGGTGTAGAAAAATAGTGAAAAGTAAATGTTATCAAAAAGAATGTTTAAAGTACAAACATTTTAGGTAAAATATTTCTGTAAATACAATGAAAATCACCTGAAAAAATGTACAAATAGCCTCTGTATGCTGCTGCTCATATACACTTTCAGCAATGTGAGCTCAAAGGAGAGGCTTTTTTGCACTATATCATCATGCTTGATGAGACATGTTTATGATGAAACTCATTTGACCAAAAAATGAAATTCATTCAGATTAATTGTGGTGCCATTATAGGCCACCATGAAGATCTAAATTTTGCAAGAATTCTAGCATTGTGAAAATTACTATGATGCTATTGTGATACAGTCTATCATAACTCATATTATATCCTTAAGCCAATTTTCAGTGCTCAGTTACTCTTCATTTCTGGAATGCAGTTTCAAGCCATCTTTTAGGAAAAAACAGAAGTATTTTGTAAAGGACTGACCCATCATTTTGTGAGAAAATGTTTTGCTTTTCAAATGCATGCAGTGCAAGATGTTGGTGTTTTTTTCAGTTTGTGGAACTGGAAAATGTAGTTCTTTGCTATGTACAATACAGCTTGAACTGTGTTCAAGCAGTATGCCTCTTCACATAAATATCATTAGAGCAAGCTGGTATCAACAGTGGCAGCATTGATGTCTATCAAAGGACAGTCAAACTTGGAAACATATATTTCTTCTGGATCTGTATTAAATAGATGGTTTATTAAAATTCTGACCCTCATAAAAATATCTTAAGAAGTATAATTATTAAAAAGGAAGAATTCAGTTATTGATACATCAGTCTTGAATTATAACTTTAGTTTCTGCCATTTATGTCTTTAAGACAGGCTCAAAGCTTTACATCTCATTGTACAAAATATTATTCTCATGAGACATGTTATAAAGCAATATTGATTGCATATAATGTTGATCTATATTGAAAAGTATATTTGGGAGCTGATTAAATATTCATCTTTATTTTTACTTGACATTTGCGGCCGCAATTCACTTGCCACTCTAATTTTTCCCATTCAAGAACATTTACATTTTTGATACTGTTACGATAGGAAGAGAGCAATGAGGCAGCATGGTAGCATTTTAGCAAGAACAGAGATAGAACAAAAGTATGCAGTCAAACATAATGTCAGTTTTCTTTCTTTCTTTCTTTTTTCTTTCTTTTTTTTTTTTTTTGTAATAAATCAGATCTTCATTTTGCCAGTTAATTCATGCATATTCGACTATCGATGCCTTGATCAACAACTCTGCTTAAAATTGCATCAACCTTGCAGAGTCGTAATACAACAGTAATATCAAAATCTAATTGAACTAGAAATATTATTCATTTTTAATTTGTGCATATAATGTTCTGAATAGGCTGTGTGCTTGCCAGTTTTTTGTGGAACATAAATTTTATTATAAAATCTTGGAAGATCACAAGATCTGCCTTATCGGAAAGTAAAAAATCTCCCTTGTGGATCTCCCTGAATCAAAGATCTTGCTTGTGGAAACATTTTTATTGATCAAAACATTTCATGACAGTCTGCATAGTTCATCGATAACTCTATTAACACAAAAACTTCTTTATTAATTGATATTTCATTTTTAATTATATGCAAATATAAATATTTCAGTCTTCACTTGCTATGTGATTGCTTGAATATGGTGTCAAATTTTAAAATGAAATATCAAATACATTTTTGTGGTTTATATTTCAGAATGACTATAAAGTACTGCTAAATAAGATTTTAGGTACTAGGAGACTAAATAACAAGTTAGAATTCACAATTTTTACAAAACTCACTTTGCAAATATCAATATGCATACATATACATCTTATATTTTAATTATTTCAGTGCTTACAAAAAAGGAGAATTAAAGCAGAAGTCTTTGTGGGAAGCTATGAGACCACTGATGCCTGTATTTCTGCTTTTTTTAAGCACCTCAATATGGGCAGTGTATTCTCCTACAGATATTATACATAATGATCCAAGAGTGTTCTACTGGTTTGTTGGGACAGTCTTTTCAAATATTGCTGTAAGTTTTTTTTTTTTTTTTTTTCTAATTAAGTGAAAGTTAGTTTATATTTAAAAAATATTTCTATGCAACAGAAACAGTAAATTATCAAGACATTTTCCACATCTCAGTGTAACAGTGTCGTAAGCTGTAAATGAATTATTTCATAGTTTGTATTACACTGGCTATCTTAAATTAAGGAAAAATCTCAAAAATCACGATTACTGAAAAAGTTACATGTAGAATTTTATAAAACTTACCCACAATATACAATACACAGTAAGGTATCAAATAACATAAAAATAAATTACGAGACAATTATGGTAGTATAGAAATTAGCACATGTATAAAATGAAAAAATTGAAGATGTCGGTTTGCTATAGGAAAAGTACCTTCAATAGGGAATACAGGCGCCTCTAGAAGCAATACAGTACATGCAGTGATGCGTGATGCTTTCAATTATGCGGTCTGTCAGTTCCGTAAGAAGCGAGAGCCATTGCTCTTGCAAAGCTGTTGCAAGCGCGGCAAGGGTCTGAGGGGGCAGAGTGAGCGCAGCTAGACGTCTCTCTGAATCATCCCAAACGTGCTCGATAGGATTCAAGTCCGGGGATCGAGCTGGCCACTCCATGTGCATAATTGTTTCCTGTTGAAGATAATCATATACGATGCAAGCCCTTTGTGGTGTTGAGTTATCATCCTGTAACAGGAAGCATCACCTATTGCCCTGGCACATGGGCGCACATAAGCATCAAGGATGTCATCTATAAACTGGAGCATTCATGGTTTCCGTTGGAAAGACATTAAGGTCTGTACGTCCACCCAAAGAGATGCCACCCCAAACACAGACACTGCCTCTTCCGTATGCATCTCTTTAACGGATGTTTGGCGGATGATAACGGGTTCCAGGTTCTCTCCATATCAAATTACGTCTACTATTGCTTTCTAGACTAAACCTGGACTCATCCGTAAAGAGAACAGCCCTCCACTGATCAAGTGTCCAGTGGACATGTTGTCGTGCCTACTGCAAGTGGTCCCTCCTATGGCGTGACTTGAGCGGCACACAAATGGCTGGTCGTCTCGCATACAGACCACCTTCGTGAAGCCTACGCACAGTTGACGTTGACACCAACCCTCCAGTGACTGCAGCAAGGGAGGATCTAAGAAGAATCGGAGTAGTGGTTCTATTCCTGCGTGCACATAATGTCAAATATCGGTCATCAGCACTCATCGTAGCAGTTGGCCGTCCTTGTCTGAACCTCCTAGAAGCCGGTGGTTTGAAATCGCCTCTAAAGTACATGAACCACAGAAGGACTCACGTTTAGCCATCTGGCCACTTCTGTTTGACTTTGTCCTTCCTCTAGTCTCCCAGTGGCTTTCGTAGTTCTGCAGGCAAAAATGATGCCTGGAGTTCATTGTAACAAATTGGCTATCTCAGATTTCTGATGTCACTATCACAGTGAAATATGTGGGCTTGCTCTCAAACATGGACTTTTATTCTCCTCGCAGATGATGTATTCCGAGTGCAGCGCCAATAATTTGCATATTCAAATTTTACACGGTTTGGCCTATTTTTGAGGGAGTTATTGCTATTTTTGTGATTTTTCCTTAATTTATGATAACCAGTGTATTGCCAGAAACTCTTGTACTTCCAACTGACTTGACTTTTTATCTCCTGCGGGAAACTTCTAGTGTCCCAGTTTTAAAATTTGTCTGAATTTAGATCATCCTTTTTAAATGTATCATTTGAGAAATTTTCCTCGCTAAGTGTTAAAAAAGAAATGATGTGAAGGAAATTTGGATGACAAGAAAAGGCAGTAACGTTGTCATCATTTTATGAAACATAAATTGCACAATACCATCCTCATCCATGGTGGTTTTCAGTATAATTTTTCATATTAATTTGATTTTCATAGTTTAATAATTTTAAAGGATTGGTTGAACTTATTTGCAGTTGTAGTCAACATTTAATATGCGCTTATTCATATTTACTTTTTCTTTAAATTAATAAATGAGACATTTATTATATTTAGCTCCTTAATTACATCCACCTCAATTATTAGCTTTATTTCCAATTTGTATTGTGATAAATCTAGTTGAATACTGCTATAACAAACTTGGCCTAAAACAAATAAACCTTTTGGCCTTGTCCAGTTTCCTGTACACTTAGTGTAATTTTATGTAGTGAAAATCCAAGCATATGAAAAATGAATATAAAGTCTTCGATTTAATTTCTTTTTTCTGTAGCTGTCATCCATCTCTCAGAATTTCTGCAAATTTTAACGAAAAAATTATTATTCATTAAATTCATCCTTGTTTATGATTATATGATTAACATTTCACATCCCATGAATAAAGAAAAACACCTTTATTTTGTCTTCACTCCCACTTTACAGTGTGTTCTAAACAAAGGCAGATGTGACAACAAAGGCAAGGAGAGGCAAGATAATGAAGATACAATAAGCATATCTTAGGATACCATATGGTATACATGGCCATTGAACCTAAAACACTGTGGTTGAGTTTTCTGTTTCCATTTAAATTCTTTGACTGAGCTGCCAGACAGAACTCTATTCAAGACTGATATCAGGATGAAAATTTTAAAGTCTTTGTTATTCAGAGCAAGAGGAAATGAATGTTCCTTGTTTGCGGTTTTATGATGCATTCTTCTTTCAAAAAATGAAAAGTTTTTATCGTTATTGATTTTTTTTATTGAGTGTAAATGCTCTCCAATTTCTAATCTCCAGATTTCACTGCTGAATTTGTAACAATGCATTCCGTAACTTGTATATGTGTCATTCGGAACCCTTAATTTACATGTATTGCATAACGTAAATCTGACAGTTTTTCCCGATGTTAAAAAAAAGATAAACTAAGAATGCTCAGTCTTTTTTGGCACATAGAAACATTTCAAGATGAAAAAAAGGGGGGGGAATTAATTTTATGCTGATCTGTCACAGACTGTTCCTTCAGGAATGAGAGGATTGCATTAAAATAATTGCATAAAATATTAATATAATCGTATGAACTAATACATTAAAGCAGTCACAAATTACTGTGTTTATTTTTGCATTTACCTCATGCAGTATGAGTCTTCACATGCTTTCATTAAAATTGTGTTTTTACAGACAGGTTAAAAATTAAATCTTTTTTAAGTCTTCTACAGTAATTTCAACTTCAGTTCTAATTTTCTGTTTTAGTGTTATGATAAGAATTTTATTTATTGAATCTTTCATTCCTATTTTTTCAGTATTTGCTTGTAATTAAGGTGCTTTATTATGTTAATTTTTCTTATATTTCTGTGTCATTTTGTAGTGCCGATTGATTGTTAGTCAGATGAGTTCAACAAGGTGTGAAGCTTTCAACTGGTTATTTTACCCTATTGGACTAGCATTAATTTTTATTTTTTCATGTTCTCATCAAAGTAAAACTGAAGTGTTCATTGCATGGGCATTGTTTATCTTATCAGTTGTAGCCCATATCCATTATGGTGTTTGTGTGGTAAGTATTAATGTATCATTAAATTGACCTTTTTTGATCTGCCTTTTGAAAAATTAGTTTTATTTATATTGAATGTAATTCTGATAATAAAATATTTCCAAGTTTATGATTTTCAAATTTTTGACTTTAAAAGTGTTTGTAGTTGTATGTCCATTTATCAGATCCCGTTATTTGCATAATGTTATGGCTGGTACCACAACATTAATCATCCTCATGGCCTGGCAAAATACTAGTTTTCTGCGCTGTTTATGTCTTGCAGTAGAAGCTATTTGATAAAAATGTATAACAGTAATGGTGTTGTTTGGTTATGAAGGTTTTATTAGCATAAAGTCAAAATTTACAAAAAAAAAAAAAAAAAAAAAAAAAAAAAAGTTCAGTATTTGTTTGTTTGTTTTATTAAAAATTTTTTCAGTATAAGTTGTTTAAGCTGCTTCATTTTTTATTCTAATATTTTCTCTTTAATTTTATAGATAGACATAATTTCTTGTTCATTTACAAAGTTCCAGTGTTCAAGTCCTGTAAATGTTATGTTAAGATTTCCCATAAACTATCCATGTCATTTCATTCCCGATAACCATTTTGTCACTTTCTTCACTAACAATGGCAATAATTTCTGGATTTAAAAGCATACTAGAGATTTTTTTTATCCCTTATTTAATTGATGATTGTTATTGCAATGGAAAACTACGGTCATACCATCTTCAAATATTATTACTTCCTCCAGACTTCACAAATTCCATTAATACAAAAATATTGCCTTTTGCTTGTGAAGTAGTAAATATTCAAATTTACAGCTGTCATCAACATGACCATAAATTATGCCAAACATTTTTAAAAGTATCTGCAGAAATATTTTTTCATGACCTTGCAAGGCTCCACCACAGCAGGTTTTATGTTAAAATATTTCAAAATTTTTCATAAAAAAAGTTACTTTATGTTTGAATTTCAGCATGTTCTGCACTGCAAATACTCGCTGGCTGAATGATGGATGTATGATTTGTTGGAAAGAATGAGATGAGACATTATATTTTCCTTAAACTTTTAAGTGAAGTATGGGCCAAACAGTTGTCTGTAATCAGGACAGTTTTTTGCATCATTCAATAAAGGAACTGATTTTAAATGCTGCCGAGTATGTGGTATGAAATGATTTTCAAACCAATCATTCATTGATGTTTGTAGTTTATGCTTGCCATCCCCCCCCTTTTTTTTTAATTTGATGACATTGGAAATCTGGACTTTAAATGGAGAGATCATGTATTTTTTTTTATTATGAGAAGTGTCCATATTTATGTTTCTACCGCATTTGCACATGCTAAATCATCAGTCTTGCTATGGAATCTTTGACACCAGTTGGGACTTTTCTGCAAGGTATTTCAGGGTTACTTTTACAGAAAAGAGGACCTCTGTACTGCCAGAAAAAACAAGTGTTATTGGTCAAGCCTTTTTTGCTTGAAATTTTTAACTCCCTTATTCCATAGTGATTTTTAAATATGGTTAACGAACTTGTTGAATGCATACACTTGGTTTTATTCCATTTTCTTATAAAATATTTTGGCGTGAGCCATTAGCTTTGGATTCCTCTAATAGCATACTCTTGATGTGAGGTTGTGTTGCCATTCAATCATTGCTTTGTCATGGTCATCACTTTTAGCATAATGAATGATTTTTTTTTTTTTTTTTTTTTTTTTTTTTTTGCTTTATTCATTGTGAGTGAGGTGTTAAAAGCCTCAAAAATTTACAAAATCTTCTTTCTCTCCTTTTTTAAATGTTGTATGGCATTGATTTCCTTAGGACATACACCTCGAGTAATTTTACAACAGATATGCTTTGATCCATTTTTGTAGCAACACCACATGCTGCTTTTTGCGTGATTGACAATGAAGCATGCTTTTGCTTCCCAAGTCCTACTGCAGCTCTAGAATAAAAAACTCTTTTCAGTATGATCAAGAATTTAGAATGATCAAGAATGAAGAAAGTTTAATATTTGATAAGATAGCTGTAATAAAATGAGCTTCAAAATAGTTGGATCACATTAGAAAATTAAAAAAGAGTGGAATTTGCAGTGTTAACTGAACTTAAGTTCTTTGGAATATACTACTTTCTTCCTTTGCTGCTGCTATGCCAATAAAAGAATCCAGTCTTAGGAACATACCACTCTAGAGAAATGTCTTGCAGCTTCATTTATTGTGCAAAGTCCATAAAAAGTTCTTTCCGTTCACATAATCACTCAAGGGCCAAAGTGTAGTCATGACCAACACTAATCAATGTTTTGTCTTTAACAAGGTATGGTTTCCTAGCCAGTAGATGTTTGAAAATGACATGCAGGAATTTCATTCAGGAGAAAATTTGCCCTTAAGGCTGTTTTTTCTTAAATATTATGTTCTGTATTTCTTGCGGGGGGAGGGGGATTCTGGTAGGCTGAAGGACTGGATATTGGAGGCCCAGATTTCAGTCTGTGTACTGTATACACTTTGTGGAATTTACAAATGTAAATATTCAGCATGGCAGATACACATTCATAAAGTATATTATTACTCTTTCACGAGTAAAAAAGATTAATTTACTTGCCTGGCAAACTGCTATTTCTAAGATCTTTGCCAGCCTTTACACAAGATTTTTAATTTAGTTTCCAACTAATACAACATTTTGTATAAGAGATTTGAAAAATATACAATGTGTCCGTAAAAGAATGTCCGTGTTTCAAATTGTAATAGTATCAGCTGTAATCGTTCGACAGTTGTGGTTGAAGGTGACGAATAAAGAATAACTCCAACAGTTTCAGATAAGCACATGCGCTTGTACTGCTACATCGTTTTCACAGTTGCAGCATCATCTATTCAAAATGGCAACTTCTGAGCGTAAAGCGTTTTGTGTTCTACAATTTGCTAAGAGTGATTCGGTAATTGCCGTTCAACGTGCGTTCCGATTGAAGTTTAAATGTGATCCCCCATGTGACAGAAATATCCACCGATGGTATCTACAATTCGAAACGACCGGATGTCTTTGTACAGGTAAAAGCCCGGGAAGACCCAAAGTTTCTGTAGAGAATGTGGAACATGTCGAAGAATCTTTCCATCGTAGTCCGCAGAAATCTGTTCGGAAAGCAAGTCGTGAACTACAGTTGCCAAAGACGACAGTCTGGACGATTTAAAAAAAAAAAATTTACACTTGCGTCCATACCGATTACAGTTGGTACAGCAATTAAAGCCAAATGATTGTGCAGTACGATTTCGTTTTGCATGTGAAGTTCTTCAACGGCACAATAACTTTCTGCATCATGTGGTGTTCAGTGATGAGTCGACGTTTCATACAAGTGGGAAGGTAAATACCCATAATGTTCGTATATGGGGTTCAGAAAATCCTCATCAACTTGTACAACACGAAAGAGATTCTCCAAAAATAAACGTTTTCTGTGCTGTTTTCACGACGACAAGTGTACGGACCATTTTTTTTTTTTCGCTGAAGCTACAGTAAGTAACAGGGGTTTTCTTATCTGGATATGCTACAACAATGGCTCTTTCCCCAATTAGTAGAAAGTGAACCTGCAAACTTTATTTGGCATTAAGATGGAGCCCCTCTTCATTGGAGTCTCTATGTGTGAGATTGGTTAAACGTCGAAGTCCCTGACCGTTGGATTGGGCGTCACGGTCCAGACGACAGAGTTCTGTTACCCTGGCCACCTCGTTCACCTGACATCACGCCTTGTGATTTCTTCCTTTGGGGCTTTGTAAAAGATCGGGTCTACATTCCACCTCTAACCCACGATTTACCAACCTTGAAAGGTAGAATTGCACAGGCTGTTGCTTCCATTACTCCGGACTTGCTGCAGACAGTATGGGAAGAATTGCATTTTCGTTTGGATGTGTGCCATATCACTAAAGGCACACACATTGAGCACTTATAGGAAAAACTAGGTTAGTTTTCCTTCAATTTCATGTATGATTTGTTATATTTAATATAAAATCAACTCCTGTAATATACCATCAAAACTTGGACATTCTTTTACGAACACCCTGTATTATAACTATATTTGTGAACAATTCTTAATATATATAATTGATTATTTTCATGAATATTTGCATAATTATTTCATCTTATAAAAGATGCCTCTAATGCTATGCATTATGTACTCAGGTACAGAATGATAATTTTTATTTTAAAATCCTCCTGTTGTTTAAAAAGTCTGTATTTTGTATAAAACAATATAAAGAGTATTATGTAGATATAAATTCTAAATATTATTTTGATTGGGCATATTTATCCAGACAAGGAAGCTAATTTTTATGTAACTAAGCCTTAATTTTATTTTGCATATGATTTTTTTTTTTTTTTTATAATTACCTAGGATCTTTCCAATACCAATTAAAATTAAGGTATTAGTAACAGTGCAAACTTCTTGCATTACTGTTGCTAATAGAAAATTTTGTATCATACATTTTAAGTATGAACCACTGTGTATGCTAATATAAAGACATAGTATAATCTATTAGAAATCTCTACTAGTAAATGAAAGTAAAGATTGTCTGGAATATTTTTGATTAATTATGCAGGCATTAAACAGTAAAACTGTACAGAATTTGGCCTCTCCTTCCATATGTCTGCAGTGTGATAAGCTTCATTTTTATGTAACTGTTTCATTTTGTTATATCACAAGATCATGTGCTTTAATTTGTATAACATAAGCTAAATTGGTGCCTTACTTAAGCCTAAATAACTTTAATCAAGTTAGGTTATATGAATATGGCAAAGCTGACAAGGGCTACCTGCCTTAGGGTAAGGTTGCCTTCATGGGCTTTGTTAGGGCAACTGGTTCGTATTTATGTTAGACATAGGAAAAATGTAAAAACAAACCATGTAGTCAACCCAATTGCAGTCAGTCAGATTGAACTACCAAAATTCAGCAGTATTAACCATTCAGCCACTGTTAGAGCAAATAACTGTGGAATGCACCCTGAAAAAAGCTAGAGTAGGGTAGTTAAAAAAAAAAAAAAAAAGGTAGA